CGAGACCAGAATTTCCCTCATTTAAGTGCAACTGTGTCATTTAGCAGTGGCAATCCCTGCCCTCTTGATTGCCATGGTTAATTGAATCCGTCGATCATTAGATTTGGTGACTTCATGCCAGCTTCCCCACAGCCAAAGTCAAAGTGGGGAAGCTGGCAAGAAGTTGCAAGTCCCAGGCTTGCAGGTGAGTAAGTGGCTGTTTTGGGGGGGGGGTGAAGATGTTTCATGTGGGTTATGGGGGGGCCTAACTGGTGCTGCATGGGTTGGGTAGGCTGGGTGAGAGTTTATCAGAATAACAGAGTTGGAAGGGACCTTGGAGGTCATCTAGTCCAACCCCCTGCTCAGGCAGAAAACCCTATACCAGTTCAGACAAATGGCTGTCCAGTCTCTTCTTAAAAACTTCCAGTGTTGGAGCATTCACCGCTTCTGGAGGCAGGTTGTTCCACTGGTTAATTGTTCTAACTCTCAGGAAGGTTCTCTCTAGTTCTAGGTCAGTGATGGCGAACCTTTTAGAGACGAAGTGCCCCAAAACTGGCCCCGCTCCAGCCCCACCCTGCTTGCCCGCAGGGCCACTCACCGCCTCCAGGGCCCGCTGCAGATCGCCCAGGCAGCCCAGCAGCGCCATGGCGGCCACGCTCTCCGTGCCCCACAGCATCAACTGTGCACAATGGGCCGTGAGGGCAGAGTCTTGTCTACGCTTGCCTGGTTGCCATGTCCTTGGCTGTGCTGCTCTGCGTGGGCCACGCTCGGGGGCAACTCTCCTCCAGGGGGGCTGCTGGTGAAGAGCGGGCCGCGGGGGGATGCGAGGCTGGGGCAACGGCACATGTGCCCACAGAGAGGGCTCCGAGTGCCGCCTCTGGCACGCGTGCCATAGGTTCACCACCACTGTTCTAGGTTGCTTCTCTCCCTGATTAGTTTCCATCCGTTGCTTCTTGTCCTGCCTTCAGCGCTTTGGAGAATAGCTTGACCCCCCCCCCTTCTTTGTGGCAGCCACAGCGTGATGTAAATGCACAGGGCCTCCCGGGGGAGAGCGGAGGAGACTTATCCCAGTGACTTACAACCTTCCCTGCCGGCTTCCCCATTGCCTTGCTGGGGAATCCAAAAGGAAAGCTAGCCAATGGCGATAGTGGGGCGCTTGGCAACCAGGCGTAAGTGAAACTAGATTGCCATGCACCCAGGTAGGACCTACTAGGCCCAAACTCCAAGAACCCAGGCATAAGCATCATAGGAGTGAGTAAGTGAATCAATGTATTCCTATGGGCATTAATAATAATAATAATAATAATAATAATAATAATAATAATAAAGTTGGAAGGGACCTTGGAGGTCATCTAGTCCAACCCCCTGCTCAGGCAGGAAACCCTATACCATTTCAGACAAATGGCTGTCCAGTCTCTTCTTAAAAACTTCCAGTGTTGGAGCATTCACCGCTTCTGGAGGCGGGTTGTTCCACTGGTTAATTGTTCTAACTGTCAGGAAGTTTCTCCTTAGTTCTAGGTTGCTTCTCTCCTTGGTTAGTTTCCATCCGTTGTCTGAAAAGGCCAGAAACATTGTAAATTGCTATCACGTGACTGAAGAATGCTGCAGCCGGGGACAAAAGGCGAGTTAGTTCCCAAGTGCCCAAAATGCCGCCACGTGACTGTAGAATTGTAGGCAGCCCTGGAAATTCCAAAACTGGTCATAAACCGTTGTTCGAGGGTCCGTCGTAACTTCGAACACTTGCTCAGCAAGTGGACATGAAGCGACACTTCCTCTAGCTAGTTGGTTTATTTATTAATCCAATTTCTGTACCACCCGGCGTATTTCCTTGACTCTGGGTGAGTTTGCAAATGAAACGGTAAAACCACACAAAGGCCGTAATTCAAAACAAAACCAGGTTAAAACAGAGGTTAAAAAGAACGTTTGCTGAGTTAAAAGGCCAAGGAAATGCCTTTAACCCGCTAACCACTCCAGGGATGGCATGACACTCTTAGATGCTCCCTCCCCCCCCCCCTTCCCTCCTCCAGACCAGTTGGGAGAACCAGGTCTTAACTGGAAGGCAAGAGAGTCTGTGCTAGCTTCACCATGGACTAATACCGAGGTCTTCAAACTGGGCCCTTTTATGACTTGTGGACTTCAACTCCCAGAATTCCTCAGCCAGGCACGTGTGCCTGGCTGAGGAATTCTGGGAGTTGAAGTCCACAAGTCATAAAAGGGCCCAGTTTGAAGACCCCTGGGCTTAATAAATCATGGGAACTTCAGAGATTTCAACTCAAATTAACATCTCCGGACAGCCTTCTAAAAAAAACCACATTTTTTTACATTGGTAAACTCAGAATGGTGCAGAGAAGACGGCTGATTCTTTCGCGTTTAGCAATCCTAACAGTGGAAAAAAGCTTAGCTCATCCAAACAAAATGTTTTGATAACGGTAACGTTAGCTGATATAAATGTCCCGTGGGGTTTCTGTTGGGCTATCAGTATGGTTCATAAATAGAGCAGACAAAGCACTATGACTCTTAACCAGTGTCTTTTTTTAGAAAAGTATTTTTAAAACCCGTTAAAACATTTTATGAGCTCTCCTTTCTGTGTGTAGTTTTTATGACCTGGACCTGAGAGTTTTCAGGATTATATGTATTTTGGGGGGGGGGGAACTACCACTGGATCCATGACAAACTCCTTGCCTTTCAGAGATGGACGTGAATGGGGGGATCACGTTAGAAAATTTGAAGGCCACCCCGATCGCTCCTGGCCAGGTAACGATGATGGGGGCCCACCAGGACGTGATCATGAGCGATGGCGAGGTAATTTATTTTTTCCCTTCGCAACGATAGTTTTTCCTTTGTTGTTGTTGTTTTTTGTATAGATTTTATTAGTTTTTATGGGGTTAGGAATAAGGTGGGGTTGAGATTTAGGTTAGGGTTAGGCTTAAGATTAAGGGTTGGGGTTTTCCCAAATAACATTCTCAATATTTAGCAAACGAACAGTATTAGATAATAGTTAATTATCATAAACAATATGTTAATTAAACACTCAGTAGCCTTCTTCTTGCTAATATATATTCAAAATTACATATCGCATTCCTTTCTCTCTAATTCGTCTTTCTAGCCCGATAGTTTTCCTTTGTTAAAGCTTCAGTTGTTTAGGCATTGGGGGTAAGTTGTAGGCAAGGTTGGGCCTTCAGGTCTAACTTAAGATCCTATCCTGTGTGGAACAGAAAAGTCAGGGAAAGAAATATCTATCTATACCTATCTGTCGGTATGTATGTATGTATGTATGTATGTATATGTAGATAGATGATAGATTAGATAGATAGATAGATAGATAGATAGATAGATAGATAGATAGATAGATAGATAGATAGATAGATAGATAGATAGATAGATAGATAGATAGATAGATAGATAGATAGATAGATAGATAGATAGATAGAGAAAGGAAAGAAAGAAAGAAAGAAAGAAAGAAAGAAAGAAAGAAAGAAAGAAAGAAAGAAAGAAAGAAAGAGAAAGATATGCTTATTTATCCTCTAAGCCAGGGGTCTTTAAACTTGACCCTTTTATGACTTGTGGACTTCAACTCCCAGAATTCCTCAGCCAGCATGCCTGGCTGGGGAATTCTGGGAGTTGAAGTCCGCAAGTCATAAAAGGGCCACGTTTGAAAACCCCTGCTCTAAGCTTTCTCCATTCTTCAGATTACAGGTAGTCCTCAACTTATAAACAGTATTGAGCCCAAAGTTTCCACTGCTAAGCAAGACAGTTCAGTGAGTTTTGTCCCATTTTACAACCTTTCTTGCACGGTTGTTAAGCAACTCACTGCAGTTTTTAAGTTAACTAATGCGGCTGTTAATTAATTCTGGCTTCCCCCATTGACTTTGCTTGCCAGAAGGTCGCAAAAGGGGATCACGTGACCATCAAAAATACATGCCCGTTGTGAAACGTCCAAAGGTTGATCATGTGACCACAGGGATGTTGCAGCGATTGTTAAGGATGAAAAACAAATCACAAGTCACATTTTGCAGCACTGTTGCAAACAAAATGTTATAGGTCAAGGACTGCCCGTATTGTCTCCCAAAGCAGGTCACATCAATTCCGCAGTTTAAAAAAAAAATGGAGTTTCCTTCAGGCTTTCTGTTTTTGAAGTGAAAGGAGTCACAAAGGGTGATTTGAAAAAATGAAGGTTCATTTCTTCAGCATGGAGCTGACCGATCTTCCCCTTTTTTTGTTGCTGTCCTTGTTTGAACCGTGCTTAGTGCCCCCTGGCTAACGTCCAGGTATACCGCCTTTTCAGCTCCAGTCCCAGGGCAGCTAAGCCTATTGGGGGGGGGGGGTACAGCAAGATCCATATGTCTGTTCCTTGATGTCTAGTTGATGTCAGGGCTCTTTATATTTGGGCAGAAGGAGAGATTAATTGGTACTCAAACAGCTTTTGGGAGTGGTATTTATAATCAGACAGGTTCCTGTGAAGGAAGAGTCTTGATAGGTTCAGAATTAATAGAAGGGAATATTCGTTGACCTGTCGACTCCTTGATGCTCTTGGACCTTGTTTGTTTTCTTGCAGACGCTTCATGACCCATCTAGATAACATCATCAGTGCTGGAAGGCAGTGTGGGGTTTGCTGTCTGTTTATGTAAAGCAGACATGTCAAACACAAGGCCCTGGAAAGAGTGAGGGAACGGCCCCCGCTGCCCTGGCCCAGGCCGGCCGGCCGGGAGCCCATGTACAATGTTGTGGTGGCCATCTATGCTGAAACACATTCAGTCTTAGCTCCACAAGGCCGTCCGGAAACAGCGAGGAACCGGCCCCTGCTGTGTCGGTCCCGTCCCCTGGGTGCATGCTGGGGAGGGGTCACCCTTTGTGAGGAATGAAGAAATGGACCATGCCTTGGCGCTTGCCCTGATGTGAAGGGACTTGCCCACTATCAACTCAGACAAACAGTCCAATAATAAGCAGCAACCTAATGAAGGAACCTACCAAGAAGAAAACAACACCGACAAGGCAAACCCTTGTATATATAAACAAAAACCAAACCCCACTGCCTTCTGGTGCTGATGATGTTACCTGGTAAGGTCACGAAACACAGCCAAGCCCAGAGAGCACCGAGGGCCCCCACCTTCCTCTTCCTCTCCGCAAATCTCACTCCCCACCCCTACTAGCACTGACGATGTTACCTAGTCGGGTCATGAAATGTCTGCAGAAGAAACCAACCAGTCTCAGAGAACACCAAGGACCCCACAGTTTCAGGACTGCTCTCCTCCCAAGAGTTCCTTTTCATGTCCTGTGTGGAGTCTAAAGTTGGAGGAAAGGGTTTCAGAGCAGTTCAGGCCTGCATGTGTGAATTACTCCCCTCTTTCCTAGGTGGGGGCAGGGAACGGCGTGGCCACGTAATGCCGCGAGGTGGAATGTCTGGGTAAGAAGCCTTCAGCCTTCTGAATTCAGAGTAAGGTTAACCTTTTCTCATTATGCATTTGACCTAATAACAAACCTAGATGGTGTTTATGCAGTTCTTGTTTCCCCCTTTGCTTCCCAAATTGCCACTTCCTCTCCCGGTACGGCGTTGGGAGGGAGGGAGGGGGGTTATGTTGCATTATCTAGCACAGACATGTCAAACACAAGGGAAGTGGTTTCATGTGGCCCGTGAAGCCATCCGGGAAACAGTGAGGGAATGGCCCCCGCTGCCTTGGCCCTGGTCCAGGCCAGCCGGGAGCCAATGTACAATTTTGTGGTGGCCATCTTGGCACTTGCCCCGGTGGACCATGCCTTGGCGCTTGCCCTGGTCCCACCCCCTTCTGCCAGAGTCCCTCAGATCTGTCCCACTCCTGCCCAGGCCCCCACAGGCACCCTTGACGCGAACGATGTAGAGCTGCCCATGCCCACCCAGTAGGCCACACCCACTCCATCCACACCCACCCAGTAGGTCACACCCACCCTGGCCACACACACACACACCCCGAGGGCAACCACAGTGCTGTTGCGGCCCTCAATGAAATTGAGTTTGACACCCCTGATCTAGCAGCTCTCTTTAAGAGGATCCAGTGGGACCCATTTCTGGGTTTTAGATGCATGTTTTCCCCTCCAATTCAACCTTTCGGCTCCTGGATTACTTTAATTTTATCCTTGCCTTTCCTCGACGGGAAGGGAAACACTGCCTAGCCCAGCATTTCTCAACTTTGGAACCAAATGATGTTCGACTCCCAGAATTCCCCAAGCGGGATGCTAGCTAGGGCAGTGGTGGCGAACCTGTGGCACACGTGCCCGAGGCGGCACTCAGAGCCCTCTCTGTGGGCACTGCTGGTGGTGGGCTGTGGAGCCCCAGATTGCGTCGGTCGAGGGGCCGGCAGGCTGTGGCTGCTGATGGACACTGTTGGCCTCCATGCGCTCACTGGCCTCTGTGTGCTGGGGACGATGGTGTCAGGCAGTATGTGCCCCGGCCCCTGCCTTACCTTGCCTTGAGATAATGGCACCCCCACCCTGCCTCGCCTCACCCCGCAGGACGAGCCTCCTTCCCACCACCCCACCTGCCAGAGACCCCCCTGGATCTCCCCCAACCCTTCCCGGCCCCCACAGGCGTCCCTGCCCACGAGCAACATCGAGGTGACCACGCCCACCATGGCCACACCCACCCAGTCTGCCACGCCCACCTGGCACCCGACAATAAGTGGGTTTTGGGTTGCAGTTTGGACACTCGGTCTCTACAAGGTTCGCCCTCACTGAGCTAGGGAATTCTGGGAAGTTGAAGTCACACATGCCAGCTGGGGAATTCTGGGAGTTCACACGTCCTTCCTGGGGATGAAAAGTCCACAGTCTCCTGGCTGTGAAGGTGGCCACGGTTGGGAAAACTCTGGCGCAGGAAAGTCCGCCTGATCTAGGCAACCGGGGGGGGCAATTCCTTTTAAAAGAGGAAGGCGCGCGGAGCGCAACTGGGGATGGGAGCAGGGCACCTTGACCTGCTGTCCTCCCTTCCTCATGGTGGTCTCCCCCCTCCCTCTTTCTCTCTTCCAGGCAAGGAGATTTCATCCCAGGCGGCCCGCAGGAACAGACTGTCCAGGGAGAGGGCTTTGCAGGACAAGAGAGGGCGAACCGGCCCAGCGACCCCCGGTTCAGCCGTCGCTATTGAATGTTTTTATTGTTTTTAACTGTACAAATGGCAACCAAGACTAGGGACAAAGATGCTCGACACTACGACTCTCAGTGTACCACTGAATGTGACCTTTAAGTTAACCTTCATTGTTTCACTTCCTTAGCTCAGTACGTGAAGCCATTCATAATTTTTTTTTTTGTTTTTGTTTTTTTTTGGGTAATGTGTTTCTGTAGGTGCTGCCGCACATGCTCATCCTTTCGAAGAAAACGTGTTTCTTTTACGAGGCATTCCATTTTCTATAAATAAAAGGGGGGAAAAAAGTACAATTTACAATTACTCGGATACTGGCTCTGAGGGGGGGGGGGTCTTCAAGAAGCGGCCTGCCCTAAAATTGCAGGCTAACTCTGCCGACAGCCAGGAGTTCGAGCCTGACTGGGTCAAGGTTGACTCGGCCTTCCATCCTTCCGAGGTCAATAAATAAGAGGACCTAGATTGTTGGGGAGGCAAGAGGCTGACACTGTAAACCGCTTAGAGGGGAATATAAAGCACTGTGAAGCGGTATATAAGTTTAAGTGCTATTGCTACCAGCATGGCTATCTGTCACCTATATATATCATCTATCTCTCTATTGTCTATCTACAACAGGGCTTTTCAACCAGTGGTACGGGTACCACCTGTGGTACATTGGCACCCGGCAGGTGGTACGTGACCATCCTAGAAAAGTGGTAGCGGGGGAGGGGAATGAGCTAAACCGGTGGCAGCACCGCACAAGCCTGAGCGAGAGACGGCTGGAGCTGCAGGGCTGTCAGGGCTCAGCGGAAGCACCAGGATCAGCGCCAGGCTCCAGCTGGAAAGCAGCACTGATCCTGGCACTTCTGCTGAGCCCAGAAGAAGCGCCGATCAGCTGGAATTTTGCAGCATCTCCAGGGTCTTGTGATTTACATTCAGATGCTTGGCAACTGATTCATATTTATGATGGTCACAGTGTCCCAGGGTCATGTGAAGTGACCAAAACCTGCTGCAACCACCCAGCAGATGGGGGGAATAAAAACCAAACACCCTCCCACCCCACCCCTGCTGCCAATCCTCAACAGAAATGCTCACAACAATGAAAACCTCGGACAGGAGGAAGAGCACCGCCGGACGGGCAGGCAGGTGTCTTGCTCGGCTGTGGCTTGGGGGGCACTTTTTTCAGTGCCATTGTAACTTCGAACAGTCACTAAGCGAACTGTTGTAAGTCGAGGACTACCTGTAATTCATCATTTTTTTCCTTTTGGGAGGGGGGGTCATCAAGTTTTTGACCCCTTGCTAGGCGACTGGTGGTACTCGGATGTTGCCATATCCTAAAAGCGGTACAATGGGTGAAAAGGTAGAAAAGCCCTGATCTACAATATCTATCATTGCCTGTCTGTCTTTATCGTCTATCTACAATATCTATCATTGTCTATCTACTGTCTACAATATCTATCATTGTCTGTCTGTCTGTCTGTCTGTCTGTCTGTCTGTCTGTCTCTATCTATCTATCTATCTATCTATCTATCTATGTATCTATCTAAGAGCCCTGGTGGCGCAGTGCTTAGAATACAGTATTGCAGGCTGACTGCTCCCTGCCAGCAGTTCAACCCTGACCGGCTCAAGGTTGACTCAGCCTCCAGTCCTTCCGAGGTCGATAAAATGAGGACCCCAGATTGTTGGGGGCGATATACTTAAGAGAGGGCTGTAAAGCGCTGTGAAGCGGTATATCAGTCTAAGTGCTGTTGCTGTTTGTGTAGAACAGGGATGTCCAACCTTGGCCACCTTAAGACCTGTGGACTTTAATTCCCAGAATCCCCTAGCCAGTATACGGGAGTTGAAGTCCACAAGTCTTAAAAGTGGCCAGGATTGGATACCCCTGGTGTGTCATTACTGAGGTAGTTTTGGAGTCCACACTTCTGTATTGTTTTAAGCCAGGGGTAGGCAACCTTGGCTCTTTGATGACTGGTGGACTTCAACTCCCAGAATTCCTGAGCCAGCCATGCTGAGGGGAAAGGGAGAGGTTTCCAAGCTGAGCCATGCTGGCTCAGGAATTCTGGGAGTTGAAGTCCACGAGTCATAAAAGAGCCCAGGTTGCCTACCCCTGGCTTAAGCCAACCTACTAACACAGGGACAGGCTTAAGTGATGAAGCTTGAATGCAAAAATTGAGCCAAATATGTCCTCCTCACGTCCCTTGTGTTCTATGAGTCAAATTGTTCATTTTGCCCTTCTCTGTGCAGCCGAACGGAGCTCTTTCCGCTGAAGGCGCTAGGGCAGGGGTAGGCAACCTCGGCTCTTTTATGACTCATGGACTTCAACTCCCAGAATTCCTGAGTCAGCTATGCTGACTCAGGAATTCTGGGAGTTAAAGTCCATGAGTCATAAAAGAGCCGAGGTTGCCTACCCCTGCACTAGGCCAACGATGGCAAGTGTCAAAAATTTGGAAAATGCCTAACTTCATCCCACTGACATGTCTCGCGCACACACAAAAAAACGATCTTAAAAACATTCTCACAAATGAAGACAAATCCACGTGTCCCAGGATAACGTTACAGGATCCAATCCTGGTTGGTCACCAGGACCACAGATTTAGTCTTCCAAGCTTTTTGGACTCCTACTGAAGCCCATCCTCCGGGACCTTCTCTCTAGCAGAGCGTGGGCTTTGAGCTTTTCCGTGTGTGGTATTTATATGGTGCTTGTTACATGTGGCTTTTTAGGTGTTGACTGGGGTGTTGACTGTCGTGGTTCCCTTTGACGGATCCAACATTGTATAAGCATAGCTAAAACTATCCAATCTCTAATGCAAAACTTCCATTGAGCAAATTATATTGGCACAGATGAAAGGAAAAACCAAATGTACAGGTATAGTATAGGGCAGGGGTGTAAAACTGCCAGCCCGCGGGCCAGACGCATCACGAAGCTGCGCCCACCCCATTGCAGGCAATGGCAAAACCAGCCCGATACGTCACATGACGTTGCGAGTTTGACATGCCTGGCATAGGGGATACCTTGCTCAATAGTAGTAACTGTGAGAGGGATCTTGGAGTCCTAGTGGACAATCACTTAAATAGGAGCCAGCCGTGTGCTGCAGCTGCCAAAAAAGGCCAACACAGTGCTGGGCTGCATTAACAGAGGGATAGAATCAAGATCACGTGAAGTATTAATACCACTTTACAAGGCCTTACCAAGGCCACACTTGGAATACTGCATCCAGTTTTGGTCACCACAATGTAAAAAAGATGCTGAGACTCTAGAAAGAGTATAGAGAAGAGCAACAAAGATGATTAGGGGACTGGAGGCTAAAACATATAAGGAATGGTTGCTGGAATTGGGTATGTATAGCTTAATGAAGAGAAGGACGAGGGGGGACATGATAGCAGTGTTCCAATATCTCAGGGGCTGCCCCAAAGAAGAGGGAGTCAAGCTATTCCCCAAAGCACCTGAAGGCAGGACGAGAAGCAACGGGTGGAAACTAGTCAAGGAGAGAAGCAACCTAGAACTAAGGAGAAACTTCCTGACAGAACAATTAACCAGTGGAACAACCTGCCTCCAGAAACGGTGAATGCTCCAACACTGGAAGTTTTTAAGAAGAGACCGGACAGGCATTTGTCCGAAATGGTATGCAGTTTCCTGCCTGTGCAGGGGGTTGGACTAGATGACCTCCCAAGGTCCCTTCCAACATTATTATTAAAAAGACCACTGCGCACTTTTCACCTGCCCCAGCCCTGCCCCTGGGATCTCCCATGTGCTATTTACCTTCAGGTAGTGTTCTCTTTCTGTTGAGAGGCCCCTCCCTTGGCCTATCCAGGGGCTTTCAAAGACGCTCTTCTGCGGCCCTGGAAAACCACACAAGAAAACACTCTTATTTTGGAGGCCACATGAGAGCACACCGATGCTCACGGCCATCCACAGCCTCTGAAAATCCCGCCAAGACCTGCACCTGTCTTCATACAGCATGCTGTGGCCCAGGAGGGCCCAATTCATCCCCTATTTTTTTTTTCAATTGGGGGTTAGATGGGATGATCTCCAGGGTCTCCTCCCAGCTTTCTGCCCTAGGTTTGGGTGATCTGACACCAGCAGCCTACAGGGGCAAGGCAGAGTAGTTCCCAGCTTTGGCTGACCTCTCTCTCTCCCTCCCCTCCCCTNGGAGGGAGGGAGGGAGGAAGGAAGGAAGGAAAGAAAAATGAAAGTGAAGGGAGGAAGAGAGGGAAGGAAAGAAACGAGGAAGGGAGGGAGGGGGGAGGAAGGAAGGAAGGAAGGAAGAAAAGAAAGAAACTAGAGGGAGGGAGGGAGGAAGGAAGGAAGGAAAGAAAAATGAAAACGAAGGGAGGAAGGAAGGGCCCTTCCAACCCTCTGCTTCTCTTACTGCCGAAGCAAGTGACGCCAGCCCCGGTCGAGCGTTTGTCAAGTCTCCCCAGCGTCTTTCTTACGACCGGGCGGCTTTGGAGAAGATGCACCGGGAAGTGAGGCGAGGAGAGCGGAGGTCCCTGTGGCTGGAATTCCAGGCATTTCAAAGGTTTGGTTGCCGCCTTATAGGATCCGTGGGCCTTATTCATCTTGATAATAAATCATAAAAGCCACTGTTTAACGGTGTATTGTGATAAACCCCTTTTCAGGAGCTTCAGGTTGCATCTCTGGAGGGACACGAGTGTTTTTGTTGAGGATGTTGAGATTGTGATGAACGACACCTCCGAACCCGCGGATGTCTCTTTCGTTTATTCAGGCACCCTACAAGGTGAAATGTTTTTGAGAAGAGATCCTGTCCTTTCTTCTCTTTCTTCTCTCCCTTTATTATTCATTCACAGAATTTATATATCCAGCACTCTCCTTTCCTCTCCTCTCCTCATCCATTTGCTCTCTTCCCTTTCTCTCCCTTCTCTTTCCTTTCTTTTCCTTTCCTTTCCTTCCCCTTTTTTTCCTTTCCTTTCCTTCCCTTCCCTTCCCTTCCCTTCTCTTCCCATTCCTTTCCCTTTCCTTTCCATTCCTTTCCTTTCCTATCCTTCCCTTTCCTTCCCTTCCCTTTCCTTCTCTTTTCTTTCCTTTCCTTTCCTTCCCCTTCCTTCCCTTCCCGTCCCTTTCCTTTCCTTTCCTTCCCCTTCCGTTTCTTTCCTTCCCTTTCCTTCCCCTTCCTTTCCTTCCCTTCCCTTTCCTTCCTTTCCTTTCCATTCCTTTCCATTCCTTTCCCTTTCCTATCCTTCCCTTTCCTTCCCTTTCCTTCTCTTTCCTTTCCTTTCCTTCCCTTTCCTTCCCCTTCCTTTCCTTCCCTTCCCTTTCCTTCCTTTCCTTTCCATTCCTTTCCA